GCATGTTTGACTTTATAGTTGAATTTTTCCACTTAAGTATTTTTGCTTTTGTTGGAGGAAATAATAAACTAGCAGATTGATTTTATTCAGGAAACAGAGCAGACGACTTCTTCTGTCACTTACTAAATCACTATTCATGCAGCTCAACAACCAGCTGATTAATAATGAACTCATCTTCAGATAAGTTTGTCGGCTGCTAGCGAACATAAAACACTTCAGCTGAATGTTTTTTCTGCATTTTCTTGTCAGAAACGTCAAATTATGTTGATTTTCGGTTGATTTTATGTCGTCTCTTCATGGCTTTTGTCAGTAATTTGTCACTTTACAGTAAAAAAGATCATTAAATTCTGATTATTTTTCCACTCTGAGGTCTTTTTGTGCCATTAAAGCACCAAATGTTTTCTTTCTTCACCTCCAAACCATTTTCAAAGCTCCAGTTTCTTCATTTTCAGCTCACATAACTGGATTTTTCCCACCTTAAAGGCAGATTTTCTAGCTCCAGGAGTTTTCCCTCCCATGAAGCCGACACATCGAGTGGCTTCGTTGCCGTGCAGCCGTGTGGACCTGCGACCCGCCGGCCTCCAGCCTGTACTTCAACCCAGCAGCACTATTTATGCCTCGTGCTCGTTACAGCAGCTCTTTGCGGTGCCGCCGGCTTGTTAGCAATTTGTCTGAGGTGGGAGGCGTCGATTTGGACGAACGTTTGATCTCCGGGACGCGTTAAATCATCGAGCGCTCGGCGCTGAAGCGTCACACGGCGTCGCCTCAGAGCCTCGTAAATCCGACTTTCCAGGAAATTCACTGCAGATATTCGTGCTTCAGCTGCGTATCGGCTCCTCTTCTTGGTTCAGTTTGCACACTTTCTGGAGGTTCTTCCAGTTTCCTTGAGGTTTTGTTTTAATTTCTAATTGCCACATTGGATCACTTTTACGTTCGTAGCTTGAAAAACCTCAACTAGACTCCAGAATTTAGTTTTCTAATGAAATAAACGCAACAAAAACAACTTTGTTTTGGCCTTTTGTGTAGTTAATCTTACTATTTTTTCATTTTAATCTGCAGCTTTCCTCTAACGCTAACTGTCCATTGTTGTGCTGTTTATCGCTACATTACTTCCTTTATTGCCTCCAATGTTGTTGGAATTTCTTGGACACATTTTCTTGGAAATGTGCTCAGAAATGCTGCCTCGAGGAGCCTTTTGTCATCGTTTAATTGAAGTTTTGTTCAGCTGATGGAGCTGCAATCATGATCACAACTTGCGGTTGAAAGGTCAAGATGAAACCACATTATAACTGTTAACTGATGAAGAGTTGATGTGTGTCTCATGAGGAAACATGTAAAACCATTAAAAAAACGTAAATCTAGGTTTGCTTTTTGTGTTTGTATCTGATGACTGATGCTGATCTCCCAGAATCTGGATTTAGTTAGATTTAAGTTTAAAATTCGTTTATAAAGAGAACAGTTCAGTCAAATCAGTCAGATTGTGTGAGAAATGTGAGATTTTGCATTTTCGCTCAGTGAAAATTGGGCAAAAACGTTCTCACGGCTGGTTTGGTTCAGATTCAGCTGATTTCTGTTTTAATTACGGCTGCAGCTCGTCGGCGGGTTTCTGAGCTCAGGACGAGTCAGACGCCGGAAAGTGTTGAGAAGCTCCTGGTTTGTCCGAGTCATGACGTCGGAGCTCCTCTCTTTTGTTTCTCAGATCACAAATCAGAGCAGAATAAATCAAACTTCTTCCTCCTGCTTCGAGCTTCAGCAGCGCCGGTGGCAGTGAAAGTTAAAAGTGGAAGAATCTGAAAACAAGCGCTCGCTTTGGTAAGGTTTTCAAATAAATCATAAATCATTTAATAAAAATAAACTGAGAAAAGGCAAAGAAATCTGAAAGTAGAAACACGACGATAAGTTAGCTAAATGCTAACCCAGGATGCTAACTCGTGATGGCGACGCCTGACCAGAAACTTCTGGAGCTTTTAAACAGTAATCTATTCATAATCTGTTCAACTGCATCTGAAATATTAGCAAAAATGTTTCTGCTCCCGTCGACAGAAGTGAGTTGGAGTGAAACGCGATTTTAATTTACGCATCGATACACATCTGGTGTTTGGAAATCTGGTAGAAAATTTAGAATATTTGAAGATAAGCCTGAATTTTTGCAGCGTTGCAGCAGCACAAGAGTGCAAAAAAATATAGGAAAGATAAATAAATAAAAATAAAAACTGTTGTTGCAAAGATTCCTTTAAATGTGGAAAATAATAACATTGCACACTGTTATTCTATGTTCAGATACTTTTAATTGTATTACTATTTTGTCCCCTTTTCATAGCGATAATGTTTGTATATCAAGAAAAAAAAACATTATTTCAACAAATAGCATTACAACAGGTTTAATTACTTAACTGGTGAAATGTGGCCAACAAACCCAAAGTGTTGCAGGTTTAACTTAACTCTCTGTGAGCTTTGATCCATCGTGCAGCTTCGCTTTGCTGCTTTCATGTACATTTAGCTTTAGCTTCAATGCTAACAGTCAAACAGTTCGTAGCCTCTCTTTAAAAGACTTTGCTGCAGTTTCCACATCAACAGGAAGCTCATCGCTGCCAACGTGCATCGACGACAGCGACGATGCAACAACGTAACTGCGGCGCTCCTTCCAAGCGTCCACAAGCCGTGGACGATGGACGCTGGACGCTGGAGGCGAGCCGCTCATGTAGGCCATCTGTTTCCTGCCGGAGGACGTCTCCATTGTTTGCAGGATTTGCTGTGCGCTTATAAAAACACTTGTTGTGGTCGATGTGCCGGCTTGTCATCGCTGCAGGAACACAGAACAGAACCGGAGCTCTTCAAATCCACAAAAAGAGGATTTCGACCGCAAAGCACTGAGAGGAAGTTAATGCGAAACAGTCCCCACATGCAATTTAATAACTCTTGTTATTCTGCGTTTTGTTGTTCTCGACTTTAATTTGATTTACGTACTTCTCTCCGAGTAGAAATTGTTTCATAAAATAACTGTGGCTGCGGGCGATTGTGGGAAAGGAATCCATTGCTTGATGTTGTTTTATTGTGAAACTTACTGTTAGCATCCAAGCTAACCAGTTAGCACGACAAAAAGTAGTTCAAGCTCCCCGTTAGCGACACCTAGCTGTGTAGCTGCATGTACAGTGAATGGTTGCAAGTTGGGTCGGCATAATGTCAACGTGTGTCATTTAAACTCAAATTTCTGCGTTAGTTGGTTTAAAACTAAAAACACGTTGAGGTAACTTCATAAAACTAACTTTCTTCACCAGAAGTTCAGGATTTCCCCGAGTGGCAGCAGACATTTACGAGACAGGAATCTACGCAAATCCATCTCCTGATGTTGTTTTACTGTCTTACTTATTGAAACTTACTGTTAGCAACCAAGCTAACGAGCTAGCTGTTTAGCTGCGTGTATAATGAATGGTTGCAAGTTACATTATTCAATGGCTCGACATATTAATGTTAACTTAATATTGAGTGTAATTCAAACTTTCTGCATTAGTTGACTTGTTGGTACTTACTGTTAGCATCCAAGCTAACGCATTAGCACACCGAAAAGTAATTCAAGTTACCAACACTTAATGCACGGTTGCAAGATATGCCATTTCTTACTGATTTAGATAAACCATTTAAGATGCAAACATTATTTCATGGGTCGACTGGACATAATAAAGTTGTGTCAGCTTCATGTTGAGTGTAACATAAAGTGAAATTTCTGGTTTAAAACTAAATTCAAGTTGAGGTAACTTAATAAAACTGGATTTGTTACTAATTTTCTTCACCTTAAGTTCAGGTTCTTAACATTGAAGACCGGTAATTAAAAATACTTTTCACTGTTGAGGAAAAGCTAATTCTCATAACTTCTCTTGGAGTAGAAATGACAGTGGCAGCAGACATTTATGAGACAGGAATCTACGCAAATCCATTTCCTGATGTTGTTTTACTGTCTAACTTATTGAAACTTACTGTTATCAACCAAGCTAACGGGTTAGCACACCCAAAAGTAATTCCCATGCCCAGCTACCAACACCTAGCTGTTTAGCTGCATGTATAACGAATGCTTGCAAACATTATTTAATGGGTTGGCATAATAATGTTGCATCGACTTAATATTGAGTGTAATTTAAACTCAAGTTTCTGCATTAGTTGAGTCGTTAACTTATTGAAACTTGCTGTTAGCAACCAAGCTAACTGGTTAGCACACTGAAAAGTAATTCTAGTGTTCTGTTCCCACCACCTAGCTGTTTAGCTGTATGTATAATGAATGGTTTCAAGTTAAGTTACAAAGATTATTTAATGGGTTGGCATAATCAGCTTAATATAATTCAAACTTCTGCATTAGTTGAGTCATTAACTTACTGAAACTTGCTGTTAGCATCCAAGCTAAAGGGTTAGCACAGCCAAAGGTAATTCCCGTGCCCTGTTGCCACCACCTAGCTGTTTAGCTGTGTTGGTTTCAAGTTAAGTTACAAACATTACTTAATGGGTTGGCAGAAACAACTTAATATATCTCAAACTTCTGCATTAGCTGAGTTGTTTACTTATCGAAACTTACTGTTAGCAACCAAGCTAATGGGTTAGCACGCCCAAAAGTAAGTCAAACTAAATGCACGGCGGCAAGATACAAAATCTAATTCACTGATTTACTCTTTCAGCCGTGGGTCGACATGATAATGTTGTGATTTCAACCTAAATTTCTGCGTTAGTTGGTTTAAAACTAAACTCGAGTTGAGGTAACTTCATAAAATTCACCACGACTTGAGGATTTTAGGTCTCGTCCCAGATCTTAATGGACATGTTCAGACAGTTCAGACTGATTCTCTCCCCTCAGAGGAGTTTGTTGGTTGAACATCATTTCGTTAGAAGTTGTCAGAACTCAAAAACATTGATACAAGCGATTTTTTTTTTTGAGCGCAGCTTCAACGGGTTTGTTTCCCCTCGGTGAACTCTTTCAGGTCCAAACATGACGTTCTACAGGAGCTTCAGGTCAGAAATTGAGCATGTTGTTACTGCATTTAACTTTAAAATCTTCACATGTGCAGGATATTCATGCATTTTAGTTCATGAGAATCCGCCAAAAAAAAGGCAAATGTGCTTCCAAATCCGATCCCTTCCTCCTGTTCTGCAGAGCGAAGCCGAGCCAAACCGCTCTGCTGTTTCTCCCTGTGGGCTAATACTTTATTTCATGAAGCTTTATTATCTTTCTGTTGCTTGATGAGGTGGTGTTGCTCTTTGGTTTCACATCAAACACACACTTGTGGCGTTACCCACCGCGAGAAAACAAATAACAGTTAAACGGTGATTAATCTGTAACGTGCGCAGTCAGAAAATAAAAAATAACGACGGCGTGAATCAGCAGCTTTCACAGATTTTGCATTCAAACTGAAAACAAACTGAACGTGGTGTTTGGTGATTGTGGTAACTGATGCACTGCTGGAATTTATGATGCCATGTTTCAGATACCACACGCGCAAAAAAATAAAAAAAATCACAGCCCGGAGACCGAGGAAAACAAACCGCGAGCATCTCGTCTCTTTTTATGTGCTTCTTGGACGGTCATCAAACATGCAGCGATTATCTGGGCTCTGTTCGGTCGGAGCTGTCTGCGAGCGTCTCTTCTTCAGCCAGCTCTGACAGAATGAAAGCGGGAAAAGAAATAAGTGAATTTATGAGGAATATCACGCAGAGCTACATATTTTCTTCTCCCACTTCATTCCTGGGATATAAAAACCCCCACGCACTCCTTCGCTGCCCGTCGCTTTAATCACGTCGGCAGTAACTTTAGAGGTTTGTCTGCTGCATGTGACCCAAATATGTGGAAGAGAAACCAGAAGACGTGTCTGAGTGATGAGTAAGAGGCAAACAAAACCAAGGAGGCACCGAAGCTCTGGGGTCAAGTATACATAGACTCCAGTCACATAAAGGTTAATCAGTCTGATCCATGTGAGGACAAACCCGAGTCCATACAAAATGAAGTTTTATTTGTAAGAGAAAGACGCAGGTCAGATTTAGCCTCGATGGGGGTTCGTTCAGGTGCGACGAAACCTTCTCATTGGTTGGTTAGCTGGGTGGCTCGGCTTTTTTGTGCCGTTTTCAAACAACCTTTTGGTTCCAAACTGGTTTGGGCGACTAAGTGGAGACCAGCGGCGACTGAAAACAAACTCAATTTGTCTGGCAGTTTATACGGAACACTTTGGCTAGCAGGTAGAAGATAACGTCTTCAAAGTGTGTTTTCGCTGGTGAACGCGACGCCCTGCCACGACACGGAGCTTCAATGTCGGTCTAAACTTTACAGACAATCCGACATTAACTCGGCCTTGCCCATTAACAGATGGGTTCCCAGTTTTTAAGCAAATAAAAACTCCAATATGTTTTCCAGAATGTGCACCCAAAACGTTTCCAGTCGGGTAAATAGTTCTGTCGATTCCACTCATGTACAAACGTTCCCGTCCATCCACCCCGACCTCCTCCCAGACCAGCTACAGGTCACTTGAAATGAAACCCACATTAAATTCTTGTTGGGCTGATCTGTTTTTCTTCTCGACTTTGGTTCTTAATGTCCCTCAAATGCATGTATTTAAGGGCACATGTAGTGATGAAGGTGTGGTCCGGTGTCGGAAGGTATAGAAGAGATTCCACCTTAAAAACAAGAAACGTTTGAGACCAAAGCTCGCTGCATAAAACTGAAACTATGTGGATGACTCGACACCACCAGGGAGGTTTTTTTTCTTGACCCTGTGAGCGAGGCATTAACAGCGTCCGACCTCAGCAGACGCCACAGTCGCACCCTTAAATGAGACACTTAGCTTCCAATTAGCTGTGTGGCGGCGGCAGGCTGTGGTTGTATACTGGGCAGCTCCCAGTAGCCGACAGCAGGACACTGGGCAGCTCCCAAATGATAGCAGCTCTGAAACTGAATCGAGATGTGCCCGACGATGAATAAGGGTTGGAGCAAAACCCCGCGCTGACCTGGGAGGTGGAGGTTTGTTTTGGTGTATTTACTTGGACCAGCTCTGGGTCCAGCGTTCTGCTATGTGACTAACCGAGCATGCTGGGAAGTGTTTTCGTCAGCGGCTCTCCCTTCCAAACCCTCAAGTTCTGATGACTCATTCCCCGGCCGACATAAAACCGTCTGGAAAATGAAACCGGCGTTTTTGGTGAGCGATGAAATGAATGTGTTTCAGCACTTCAAAGCCAAGAGCGAAAACACAGCGAGGCGCTGGGCGGCCTTCGAGGCACAGGAGGGCTGCTTCAGTCCAACCAAAACGACGAAAATTCAATTTCCAGTCCGCTCTGCTGAGGCGGATTTAATCAAACCAGACACGTCGGTGTTGGTGCTGCAGGTTTTATGTCCAGGGCTGCAGCTCCTGTCAGCACGCAGTGAAAACGTCCGACACCAGCAGGTACCGAGTCTGAACCCGCTGGTGGGAAATGACAACATGGAAAACTCCTGCGTTGGTCGTTTTTGGTTCTGATTCCTGTTAGTTTTGATAACTCATGACTCACTGTTGAAACTGTTTAAACAAACTCGTGTTGCCACATCCAGGAAAAAAAAACTGGGATAAATATTCTCTCATTTAAAATTGAGATTAATGATTTCTCCATGATGTCACGCCGACGAAAAAATGTTTTTTAGGGGAAGTAAACACTGAAGGAGCACAAACCAAACCAACAGGAATGGAGATTTGAATTCATAGTTTTGAGAAATGAGATTTACAAACAGACCGATGAGGCAGGAAGCGCTTCAGAAGTTTCCTGAGAATCCTAAATGTTCAGGATCAATGCAGGTTATCA